ATCTAATATAGATGTAGTTCCATAAGAAACTCACATTTTACCTAAGGTGCCTAAGGTATTAGGTATTTGGTATATGTTTTTCATATTAAGTTGAATATCAAGTTAAAATAAGCAAAAAAGTTCTCATCGCTTTGCCCCGAATCTTGTACATCCAACCTAATCAGCAAGACTTTAGGGTTAAAATAAATATTTTCTTAATCCAAGATTATCAATCGAGCAGATATAGGAAATTTTAAGCTTTTTTGATTATGCTCGTAATAAAATAAGAATAAGTAGAAAAGTTATAAGTAATAAAAAAGTGAATGCAATAAAAGTTATTTTTCACTGTTCAATTCACTAGAAAATGAGTAAATGTGAACAATTTCAGCCTTCAATCTTTCATAATTTGTGAGTAATGAGTGAAAACCCACAAATTTTTGCCTAGAGAAAGGGGGCTGCTTTCATTTTACGCTTTACTACGGCCGGATGTTTTGACCAAATTGGGGCTTCTCTTATACCATATAACCAGCTTGTAGATACTTCTAGTCTTTCTACCAAATTTGAAGTCGTTATCATCATTTTTGTGCTCACGAGAATGCCCCAAACAAACATCATATAGACGGACAGAGGTGCAGACATGCCTTAATCAGTTCAGAATTGATTCAGTTCAGTTGATCAAAAATATATACCCGTTATAGGGTCGCTGAAGTTCTCTCTTGGTTGTTGCAAACATTATAACAAAATGAGTATACCTCACGCATCCTTCGTTGGTGGGTATAAAAAATGTTTTCATATGCATTTTCATAAATAGAATTAACTTGAATTGAGTTATAAACATTCCATTTGATACTATCATAATGGATGCATATTTTTGAAATGAAATTTGTTTTGCTGCTGGCACTTAAGCGATTGCTTATGCTTCCACAGAGTGTCCCAAATTAAATCGTTGCTGTGAAATGAAGATTCAAAAGAATCGCTTATTCTTCACTTTGAACATCAAGTTGCGTAATGTCAATCTGTTAATTAAAGGGTGCCGAGTGATATGAATCATGGAACTGGACAGGGTTACATGCTTTCAAAGTTTTGAAGAGAAACTAAATTTTTTCTTCAAGGAGAACAACATCTCCCAATAAAATGAAAATATTCCCCGGCTGTCGAATGGGGATTTGAGTTAATTTCGGAAAACCTTTTATTCCATTCATATCCATTAGCGTGTAATTACCGTTCAATTAAGCGATTTTTATTCTAAATGCATATTAATTGGAAAAAAAAAGTAATAAATAAATTTATGAAAGAATTTTGCCAAAATCCATTTATCATCAACATATGCTTTTTAATCACTGCTCAACTTATTTGCCTATATTTATAGCTTTTGTATGTATATGATGTTATTGGGTTAGCAAATATATATATATATATATATATATATATAACTTACGATTTAAAATTCCATTAGCACAACTGTATCAGATCAAGTGCCAAAAAAATACTCTTTCTTTACACGTTTGCCCAAAATACCTAGGCAAACAATATGAATATATGTGAATGAATGGTTTTTGTATGGTTACGTGAACGTGTGTAGCCGCATTTATTCATTTAGTTGCACAGCCTCAAGCTTCGTTCGATTATATAACACGTTTGTAGGTATATTCATGTTCTATACCGTCTACAGGGCATACGGCTTTGTTACATGTGAATTGGCCACTTGATTAATTGTTATGCCAACAACATTTGTGACAACAATGGTGTGTGGAAAATGTTGTTATTTTCATTGTGCTTGTCTCAACCATTTATATTATTATCTATTACTCTTTTCACATCGACTACTCGATGCCGATGCTGTTGTCCACTATTGCTGTTACAGTTTTCTGCTCGCATTTGATCCTGTTCGTGATGTTAATTTACGTTGTGTCAAAAGTCATGTTATAACAATTGGGTTTTAATTGTAATTTATAATTGTTTTGAGACGTGTTAGTGTTCAAACGCACCGCAGCCATGGTCATGGTCCTGCACTGCTGTCTGTAATGTTATATGTCAGCATATTTAGTAGCCTTCGCTACTACTGTACCTTGATAGTATTTAATAAAAATCCTTTCAATAATTAAAGTTAAAACGAATTTCGTGTTCGGCCGCGACGTTCGACCTTGTCAATCACATAGAATCTAAAACTGAACGAATTTTTGGACATAGAAAATCATTTTAACCTCGTAGCGAATACTTTTCAATGTAAATTTACAACTACGAGCATATTATATCTGAAATGGTTTGCGGGCATTGGAAACCTATGCGCGTTCTTGACGGGCATGGCTAAATCTATACAAATATTCACCCGTACATTGAAAGCGTATTTGAAACTTCAAAACTTTCTTTAAAATATCATATTTGAGGTTCTTGGATTCGTGTAGGCCAAGTTTAAAAACTGTTATGCTAATTTCAGATATATATCGAAAGTAAAAGAAATCTAGGAAGAACATCTTTTCTTCTTCACAAGGTGTCCTTTTAGTAATGCTTCCATACTCCATTCATAGGAAGAGTTATCGAGCTCCTCAAAATAGATATTGTAAGTACCAAAGTCAATGGATTAATTTTTATCCTGCACCTAGCCTACACAAATCCATTTTTCACTGATATATTCGATTTTATTAGTTGTATGTTATTGAAAAGTTCCCACACGAATATCTTCAGACAAGAACAGATCGCTCTGAGGGTTTAACTTCTGCACCTGGCTTGATGTCTTAATCAGACGGGTTGCCCACAACCATAGGCACTCAATTAAGTTGAGTGATCACCCCCCAGGGGGAGAGACAATCCTCTAATACCCTCTCCTCTTTTACCCCGAGGTGCGCAGATGGTTCATTGTGTATGGCCATATATATGAACCGCCACTCTGGTATGTGATGAGGCCTATCATCACCCCTGATTTATTCCAATGGATATGGAATGGTGAAAACCACAGCCACCACGATACCCCCCGAAAGGCCGTACCCAAGCAGTCAGGGCTCACAAGGATTGAATGATGTGCCTTCCAGCGCACTTTCTTGGTATATCATATCAACCCCCGTGATGCTTAAAATTTGTCTACAAAGCCTTTAGCCTTACTTTGCGCTTTGTATCACAAATGCAATACGCCACTCTTGCCTTTAGACTTAACCATACAGTCACGGTTAGCCAATTCCGGACTATTTTTCTTCAAGATATATAGTTATCGGGCGTATCATCTGTCATGGCCATTACTATATCGTAGTACTTATGCAAACCAGCTACCATTGAGTCTGGTTAGGCTTTCGTTTATAGTAAAAGCTTTTGAGAAGATATATAAAAACTATATCTCAATGAACCCCTAAAACCATCTATCAGAAAATTCGTCGCCGAATTATAATAGTTTTTGCCTTAAACTCTTCTTCGCCTGTCGAACCGTTTCCGAAGATCACCACTTGGAGGTGAGAGTTTCGGCACTTCTATGCTCCCTACAGAGCATAGTTTATCACCCCCTTCAGACAAGAACAATAGAGTTGTATTTTGGGAGAGTTATCGCATTCGAAATAAATCAGACGATGTATTTCGAGTATGAAGAATCGACCGATTGGCAACGCCAATTCGATATGAAAAGCGTAGATCTAGAGTAGAAGAAGATTGGACTTTCTAGTGTTTTTTGTTCGAACCGTCGACCAGGGAATATCGTAGCGAGAGAATTTTAGTCAGTTGAAATCCGTGGAGATTGTCCGCTGATAGATCATTCCGACTATATTATTAGAGAGTTGATCGTGCGTATTGACCACCAAAAAAGGGGAAGAAGCGGTGAAGTTATTAAACATACTTAGAGTATACATAAATAGTGTTTTCGGCGTAGAAGCTAAGAAATAGCCGAGTAAAAGAAAATTGTAACGTTAAGAGAAAGAAAGAGGGGACTTAGTTTTGAGAGGCTTCATTTAAATATAGGCAAAAACTGCTAGGGATAGCTGCTGAGGCTTACCCTGGCATTGTTGTATTGTAAGCGAAATTTTTTCGAAATATTTATCACCGAATTTTTTTTATTGCATTTAGAAAGGGAGAATAATCCAAGTGAGATAAATATGACGAATTTTAATCCCTTTATTTTGGTGGTAAAATGGGGCATCGTACTTTGTTTGCTGCCAACTGCAGTCGTTCTGCTTGATTTCGCAGTCTTTGCGCGTCAACAACTGCGTACAATAATTGCAGTTGATTGCTTTTTACACACTTTGAAAGTTATCGCACGCTTATCCCGAAAAAGTGACGGTATAACATTATCAGCCTCTGTCGATACAAAAATAGGGTTTTATTCACCACATGGTTTTCTTCTATTGTGATCGTCTGTAGCATCCACCTTATGCATATGTCTTCCCAAACATATGACACTTTCTCTAATCTTACGCTTTCAGTCGACGGTCATCCAAAACCATTTCCGTTGTGGTCAGCCTGCTTTATCGTCACCTTCTTTAATATTTTATTGATTGTCACCCCATAGTTTTTAGGGTTGCAAACCAAAAGCGGACTAAAGTAGAATTTTAGTTGGCAGTGGAGTCCATTTTTACAGATCGCAGGGAATCTCCGAGAGTTGTTTTGCTGAATAACAGAAGAAGAAGAAAATGTATACAATAGATAAAAATATTTTATGGATTTTCTTCTTCTTTATTTCTGATCGAAGGTATCATCCAAAACAGTGATGTTAAAACTTGCGTGATGTCAAAACTTGATATGATTTCCGTTTCTCTTTTGACCGACATAGTGGCAGGACGCGTAAAGTTGAAACCCAGGGCTGTTTGTAGCAAGGTTAGTGAAAAGACCGACATGAGGAGTGCGCCGGCGTAGTTAGTGACGCAGAATAACCTAAATATAGGTTATAAAAATTATTGCGTAATGAAATATGAGATTGATGTACATGGGAAAATAGAATTTGAACTAATGTACTGGCTGTGAACACATACGAAATCTAAGCCAGTTACGAAATTCCATAATTTACAGCGAACTTAGAAAATAAAATGTGATCATCTATTGTGAAAATGGATTTCGTAAGGAAGACGGCTTAGTAGCATCCTTACTATGATTATCCAAACCATAAGAAATGATTGCAAAATCGAAACTGAGTCTACTGGAGCGTATTTTTATATACGTTTGTCTCAATGCATATCCCCATCATACATAAAAGACTTCAACTTGAGCTAATTATAATTCCTCTCCTGTTCTATTATGTAATTCCCATAAAAAATTTTATATAATTTATTGTTTACCGAAATTTATTTATACATTTTTTTTTTGTGTTTTAGGTTAAAGACATAACGCGTAATATTAAGAAAGCTGTCGTGGCAAGTTCGTTGGAAGAGATACGCGCGAAAGTCTCAGAAAAATTTGAAAAACTTGATCAATTACCGACCATTCATTTAGATTCGGATGGCACTGAAATCGACGATGAAGAATATTTTCGTACATTAGATGAAAATGCTGAACTGATAGCAGTTTTCCCCGGCGAACATTGGATTGATGTAAGTACTCACCTAATAATCAAACAATAAAGTATTTTCTAGAATGGTGTTTAACTTTAGGTTTATTACTTCAGCTCTGGATAAGGGAATAATTATGGAAGTAGGAAAATATGTTATAAATTATGTAAAAAATGTTTACAAATAACTCTTAACTTATATGCACTTGTCCAAATCAGTTTTGTATGATTGTATATTTAGGCTTGTCGTGTTTAAGATTTTCATGTTTAAAAATGCGAGGTCAAGCTTTACACAAAGTGTGATAGGACGTCGTAGTTGCCCTTTCTCAAAATCGGCACTAATCAGTAGTTGATATACCTACGCTTTTGTAGTGTTATCTGAGGGAGTTGTGTTCCGTATACGAGACAGCAATCAAGCGTATGTTACTCTTCCATACTTCCAGTATACATAGGGCTATACTTAATTAAAATATTTAGTTCAACTTTAATAGATCATTTTGTTTGCAATTTCCCTGCACTACTATTCCTATTGTTAGCCCACATTTTTTGGGCCAGTTGCAGTACCAATCCTGTAATACAGATCCTTGGCGGGATCTATTATTGTTCTAGCACCTCTCTTGGGTAAAGTCCAAGGGCAATCTTGGGCAGTCCTTTGACTGCCTTCGATACCTAGATGACTAAGAAATTACATTAGAGATATCTCTTTGTACTTGTTCAGCTCATAGAGAGTGTCCAGCTACTTCGACATATATCTGAATATTATTGGGCTTTTGCGGTCCCGTATATGAGAAAGTCTTTCGACTGTTGGCAGATTTCTAAGTCAAGATATAATACGTCAGTATCTCCCATAGTTCGTTTAGTAGACGTGAAATCACCCACTATACATAAGTATATAACATATATGCGTATATGTATGTGTGAATGTAAATATCAATTTTATTAAGCAGAAGAGATTTTTAGAATTTGCCAGCCTATGCTGGACAGTTATGCTGGACACATTTATTATTTTTTATCCCTAAAAAGGATAGAGCACTAAACGGCGATGTAGACTTCAGAACACGATGTTGGATGCTTGAGTTAAAGCTTGTGTTTTATTAAACAAAAAGATAATTTAGGCTCACTAGGTTCGTCTCGCCATTTTTCAGACGTTTGACGATGCTCTTAAACTATTACACAATAAAAAATTTCCCGTTTGCAGACCTTTCAAAAATCCGGAAATAATTCTAATCACTTTACTTGCAAAGCAAAGTGCTCTCTATAAAAAAAAACAATGCTCATCATAAAAAGCTTTAAATATCAGAAAATGCTGACGTGCGTTTAAATTAAATTTTAATGGCTTTAGCTGGTGAATTTTTTTGATTTTGTATACAAAACCAGCAGGCGAAAATTAATTTCAAAAACTTTATTTATTGTGACTTGTTTTGTCTACGAATGCTTAAGTGTTGGAGCATTTTTATAGTTTCAAAAAATGCAAAACTATTGCTATTGTCTACGGTGAGAAATTAGTTCGTTTAAAACGTCATTTGCATTGCAATGAGAGCACCAATGCGCATTGTAAAAACCTCACTTAGCCAAATAATTTAAAAATTTTACATGAAAAACAAATTTTTATTTTTTATTTTTTTGTCTCATTATTCACTGGTTGATGACATTATTTCCAGTAACAAACTTTTCAACAATTCTTTGCCAACAACTTGCTCTTTACTTTTTTTTTTGTCCAATACCTCTTTTTATACTTTCCTTTATCTATTATAGTAGTTTTATTTTTAGGAAATAACTTGGTGTTGCGCCCTGAATTTTGTTAATATTCACATAGTAAGTTTGATGCTTACTTACTCGAAGTTTTCCAAGTGAAACATCCATGCATAGCATCACTTCGATGTGCTGTACTATCTCTTGTATTAAAAAATTCCAATTCCTTAGCAGACAAATCATTTATATACCCATAACTCAAGCAAGGGGGTTGGTTTTCTTTCATAATTTATATAACTCTCAAAAGGAAGTTTCGGAGAACCTACTAAGTAAGCTATGGACTTCATATTTGGTAGGAACATTGGAGGTATTTGCATCCACGTTGCTATTGAAAATGAGCCAAATTGGTTGGAGCAGAAAACAGCAGGGGAGAGTAAACTGAACCCAACTGCATTAAAAAAAAATTTTTTTTTGGAATTTTGCTCATTACTCGGAAATTAATAAAGTTAGAAGGCTGCAATTTTCCACATGCACATGCAAAAATCGGCCATGCCCACTCAAAGTTACAAGCGATTAAATTTTATTCTTTTCCCCTTTCATGAGGTTTTAGGCTTATTTATCATAAGACAAACAAGGCAGAGTGTCAAAAACTATTTTGTACCTTCCTCAAATGAAGATATATTATCTACCTAAAAATGGGCGCGACCTGATGATTTAATTTTTTCGTAATAGTACCAGAGATATGGGTATCAAATAAAAGAGCTTGGAGGGTAGAATGCGAAAAGCATAGTGGTGGGTATGCGAGATTCGGCCTCGGCCGACTATAACTTTCTTACTTGTTTATACTATTTTCTTCTTTTTGTTTTGTTTAAGTTTTATTCTGTTTGTTTTCAATCACATAGCCTAAACGATTTTCTTTTTATTATTTTTTCTGTTTGCTTTGTTTCTTTTGTTCCTTTAAAGAGCTTACACATATTGAATTTTACAAACATGCGATTTCAACTTTTAATGGGTTTGATAAAATTTTGTGCCACATCTAAGGGATTACGCTACAAATTTTATGCAAAACCAGGTATCATTTACTAACGGATTATTATCCAACGAAAAAATTGTTCGTTTTTTTTTTCAAAATGTTCGCGGCATAAAATTTATGATTTTTTAAATAAATATACAATTGCGGAAAGAGGACAGCAAGACGTACTGTTTAGGTGATAAGCAAAATAAAAGTTTTTACCGTATAGACGTGTGGGGGTTGTAGGCGTGTCCTTTGAAAAGTTTAGGTCAATTCCAAATTGTTTTGCAAGATTTTAGGTGATATCTCTTAATTTTCGCTGACGGGAGAATGTTTACCACAAATACGACAAAGTTGCGTATCCAGACAGATAGACAGTCGAGTAGGCGGACATGTTTAAGTACATTCCAAATTTGTAACTGGCCAAGAATTTATATTAGGATTATCGACTTGAAGCTTATTTCTGCGCATGATGAAGTTATTAGAAAAACAATTAAATTTTAATATACTATAACATTGTGTAGGCGTGGTCAATTTGTTCCATTTTTGTACATAAATGCTACAACATCGCTCATAGAATATGCGTTCAAATTTTTGTACATTTATTTGCTATAATTTATGAGTAATGAGCAAAAAACCAATTTTTCATTCCTTTTGAAAAACAGAGATGTTCTCATTTTCGCTTGTTCTTTGACCGATTTGGCCACAACATGCGCGCAAAAACTTCCAATGTTGCTGCCAAATTTGAATTCAATAGCTTCATTTTTGCGCTCAGAAAAATCTTTATAACAGACATTATACAGACGGACAGACAGACATGCTTAAATCGATTTAGACTATATATATACATTGTGAGATTTCTGATGCTTCCTTCTAGACGTTGCAAACGTTTTGACAAAATGAATCCTCATCTTTCGATAATGGGTATAAAAAGGTTATCAAAAGTTAGTAAGACTTTTCCACTTAATTTTATTTTATAACCGTAAGGGTTGCTTTTCAACATCCTAGAATACGGGAAAAGTTTTCATTACCTGCCGGAAATTGTTTCTTTTAAATTGCGGGCTTCTTGCCGAAAGCTCTGAAAGTTTTCTGCATTAAAAGACTATCGCTTAACTTTACACCATGGGCGGTACACAATAAAGTAAATTAACAAAGTCATCAACCTTAGCGACTATGGACCACGTAGGCTTATGAGATTGCTCGGAAAAGAAGATCTGATTGTTAATGCTTTATGATGAAGATTTGTTCATGGCAGTAATTTAACATAAAAACTAAAACGGATCTGTTCCTTGGACGACACAACATAAGATTTCTAATGAATAGTAAGCTCTTTAGAAAAATGTACAAACAGGACATAGGTATATTTTTTAGGTCCTGACATATATGGGGATTATCATAGAAAACAAGCTTTTATTTTGCGAGTGACTTCAGTTTGCTAAAATTTGGATCACGCCATGTGATGGTTTGGGAATCCTATAACATGCGGGCTTTCATACCTTGGCATGAAAATAATGTGCAATTTTTTATGATCCATTATCAAAATGAGTGAATAATTAATTGTACTAGGCGTAGTCGCGTAGTATACCTAAAGGTCTGCCTTGCTTGCATTTATTTGTTTTAGTATGTGTTTGCATTCATGTAAGAGTAGTTGCAAAGTTCATCCTGCAATATATCTTATTGTAGTTTCTTGAAGAAGTTTATTGAACGGAAATGATGCTAAGAGGGGCTTGAAAGGTGTGAATGCTTCTGCCGAGGAATTAAAAACGTTTGATGAATATTTTGGCGTTAGTTGCAAATGCGGCAAAACGTGCAATGCGAAATGTGCGATTCTGTGTTTGAAGATTTCGGCAAAAGTAGCTTCTTCGGCGAAAAAATTTCCGGGCAAAGATAAGAAGAAGAACATTTAAGCAGTGAAGTGCATTTTTATGGTCCTAATAGAAATAATGATAACATATTAATTATATATACTAAAAAAATATGTCAACAACATACATAAAAACTAAAAACTTCAAAAACACTTTTCCCCAAACATGATTTTTTAAAACAGACCGTGGACCAGTTTCTACAAATTTCATTGCGTTTATTCGAATTTTTTTTAACAATGCTGTTTAAGTAACATTAATAATAGCTATTGATTGAGCTAAGACTTTTTCATCCCAACATATGCTATCAATATTTTTAAAATTTCTTACATACTGCACAAATCTATAGCCATTAAAGTGAAATTTATGCCGCTTTAAATGAAAGATGTCTGCAGCGTTGCCATATTTTAATATTTTTCAAAAAAGAATGTTTTTTAATACCTATGTGTACACTTAAGAATTTTGTCAAACATAACTATCTTAATGCGCTGAAGCAGAGTTTTCCTTTCCTTCTTTGTCTTCATATAGAAAAGGTCAACATTATCAGTGCAATCAAATCAGAAGGATCTCAATTAAAAGTCTGACCGAGCTAAGGCGTCCAATAGTGCAGTTAATGTATGATATGACTTTCGGATAAAAAAATTGCATGTCTGGTAAAAAGGTCTTAAAGAATTACGTAGCGTGAGAAGGGTTTTTAGCGCAACTCTTCAATACTCTCAGGCATAATGGTGAGGTTCTTGTCAGCAACGTGGTCCGACGGACGCAATTTACAAATGAAGATAATCGAAGAAAATTTAGTTTATCGGGTTTTCGATTGTAGCCCTATATTTTTGTTTGCATTTACGGCAAAGCAATCGTATTGGTCTGCCCAACAATTCTCAAGTTCAGAGGAGCAACATTTGAGATATGGATATGTCCAGCTTTCGTCGGCAGAGCGTATAAATGTTCATAAGCAAAATACAAAAATGGACGGCAAAGAGAATTTCTGTAGAAATTAATTCCAAAATTTTCAATTACAATCAATGGAGAGTGGAATGCGAACTAAAATTTGGCGCTTGATGTTAGTTTACTAAGCAGCAAACAACTTGGAGTTGTTTATGCGTTTCGTTGAGATCGTGTGTGTGTTCAAAAAACTTTTTCCTAACTTTTTTCATAACTTAAATAAAGTCCTCTATGTCTTTGCGGTATGTGCACTAGTAGTTAGAGTAGTATGTGTTACAAACGAAATAATGGATTTATTATATTTCCATCTTGTTGTGGAACACAGTAAAGTAGTTTTTATTATGTTGCACATATCCAGGTTCTTTTCTAAAATTCTTCGCGCAATTTTTTATGAAGTACCCTTATGTTTTTCATTTTTGTAATTTTTTCACGTAATTCATTATATTTAATTAATGATTCTTTTTGGCAAAGGTTAAGTGACTCTTCTCACTTTACAATTCTTCTAAGATCGTTTTATGCATAAAAGTAAACGTGAAATTATGTTTCTGTTGCTTTGAGCAGCAACACAATACTCGTAGTAAAGTTTTAGACTCAATCAAAAGGCAAAATTAAAATTTTGAAAATACAATAAATTGTTTAAAAAATTACTCTCCGCCGCTTCCACAAGACTTAATAATAGTTTTCTTATCTTATTATAACATTAATAAGTTAGTAGATGAAGGGCAATGTTTCCTAGTGAATGCGAGTGGATACGAAATTATGGGTAATTTTCTCGAATTTATTTAATAAAAGATTAGTGAATTTATTGAAACCAATTTGTTGTCGCTTTTATTAAAAAATTTTTTAGTGTAAAACGGATCGAATAAAAAAGTCCTCCACCAAGATGTTATTGTGAAGGTACAGGCAACCGCATGAGAAACAAAGCCAACTGATAGTACGGCCAGCACATAAGCGAAAGTGGCAACAGAAAACTATTTAAAAATTATGATAGTGGTAAAATTCGAAAAAGTCACATAAAATATTCGACCTCTGGCAAAAACTTTCAATTGCAATCATTGTTGAATAGTTAAGGACAATGTACAACGATAAAAAAAACCGGGGATATCCCCTGCTCGTGTAACACAGTGGTGATCAAATAGGGGCGAGGGAAGGAAAAGAGATAGAGAGCCGTTAACCATAGCCAAGTGGCTTTATATGAATCGATAAGTGGTGCGCTTTTAGGTTAACTCTAAGAGGTAGGTTATAGGATTTAGTTGTGATCAATCAGTCAGGTGATGTTCCCTACTCGTGTAACATAGTTACGGCGACAGCCTCAGAGTGGCGAGGGAAGGAAATGAAATAGAGAGAGGCGTTGACCGCAGCCTAGTGGCTTTGCGCCAAATCGATAAGTGGTGCGCCTTTAGGTTCACTGTTTGAAATAGGTTATAAGGTGTAGTTGTGATCAATTAGTCAGGTGATGTCCCCTGCTCGTGTAACACAGTGACGGCGACGGCCTCAGAGAGGCGGGGGAAGGAGAAGAGATAAAGAGAGGCGGTGACCGTATCCTAGTGGTTTTGTGCCAAATTGATAAGTGGTGCGTTTTTAGGTTAACTGTTCGAAGTAGGTTATAGGATTTAGTTGTGATCAAACAGTCAGCTGATGTCCCCTACTCGTGTAACACAGTAACGGTGAAATAGAGGCGAATAAAGGAAAAGAGATAGGGAGAGATGGTGAGGGCTGCGTGTGCTCAATAGATAAGTGATGCGCATTTAGGTTTAGGCTGGTTGGAGTGGGCTATTGGATTTAGTTGTGATTCAGTTATGTGTGTCTTCCTCTGCAGTTGGAATGTTTAATCCGCAAAAAATCGGACATAAGATAAGGCCTTTCAGGAATCATTGATTACGTTGGATTTGAGAATCGGTCGGACCAGTCATTAGATGCTAGATTTGCTCTTAGAAGAATTTCGTATATTAATATCTCATACTCCAGATTGTGAACAGCTCTATTCGTGTTACGCAAAAATGTGCGATAGAGATTTGGTAAGGATTATATATTTGGAATTCGCCCGAAATTCTGAAGCGATTATTCGATTTTACCTCCCGACATTTCTATTAGGAAGTCAATATATCTTCTGTTGGGAAAAATTCCTGTGGAAATCTATAATGTGGTAGATATATCCTTGAAATATAACACACATAAACATGCTTGCAGCAGTTAAAAAGCCGAAATAACCTTAATTAAGGTAAAACTTTAATATATTTGATTTTGTAAAATCTAACATAGTCTGCTTTGCCAGTGTCACTGATATGAAAAAATTCTTAATTGTTCCCTTCGCAGTTTATTCGTAGCCGCATTCGGATCGGATTAGAAAGCCCGATATGTATACGCACAAATGTATACATAAATTTATGTATGTATGGTATCGCTGGAATTAAAATTTAGCCCCTTTATATTTTGACATTTATGTAAGTCGTGTTTTTTCCTTTTTTTTGGGATTTAAGTTTATTTGTTTTTGTGAAATGAAATTCCGTTCGAATTCAACAATTTTAAATTGTCTTTAAATAATTTTGGCAAAAACTTCATTATACTACATATACATTCGTATACACATATATATATTTATATATATATTTACTACATATATATTTGTATAAACATTCGTATATATTCCACAGATATATATATATATATATATATATATACTTTTATATATATGTTTATATAGATATATGCATACATTTACGCATATATATGAGGGTATATTTAAAATGCTATTCGTTACGCAGAGATTTTTTTGCAATAATATTAAACGCAACGTTATTAAATTCTTGTATTCGAAGTTTTGAACTTTGTATCTGCATTAAATTTATTTTATGCACATAGATTTTGCCTACTTATGCGTACATGTGTGTAAATAGGGATTTCCTGTTGTGCGTGTTGGAAAGGGATTTGTACTTTTAAATTTGAAATTGTAGAAGTGTTGGTTTTTTTTTCACTCATATAATACTTAATATATGTAATGCATGTAGAAGTGTATACGCATAACGTTCGCACAAATATGTAAAAATTACTCCCTACCACAAATCAGGAAACATCTTATATTTGCCTTCGATCGAATCTTTTAGCATCCATCAGCCGTACGAGCTTTCATTCCTTTGATATGCTTCATATATATATATATATATATATTATATATACATTTCAGATAATATTTAGTTATTCCACTTTGCATTTTAGGTATTTGCGGCGGAATTCTTACTTCTATTGAAATGATTTTGATTATTATGCAAAACTCAAGTCGCAAGTAAAGCTGGAAACAAAAAGGCCCTTATTTGGAAAATTTCAATCCATGAAAGGGTGTTGGTAGTGACGCATGTGACTCTTCCATATAACGTTTTCAAAACGAAGTTGACTATGTCACGGAGAGACAGACTGGCAGATAAAAATATTTAAAACGATTCCTTATCCTTGGTGACCAAAAATCGATATATGGATATATAAGGATTACCGGATGCATATTTCTATGCGTTAAACATATTTCTCAAATTTAGGGGATCTTTTACCTGTGGAGAGAAAAAAAAAAAAGAAGAAAATATATTTATACATGCATATCCTCCAGAGCGCATAGTTAAGCAATATTTAATACATACCGCTTGTGCATGCAACCTTATATAATTCTTTTAAAATGATTTATAATTTGAATAGGATGTGAACGTAGAAGAGAAAGAGAGAGGAATACATATTGATTGCATGGTCTGGTGCCTGCCATTGAGGGGATTGTTAAAAAGATATATTATATAAAAATCAGTTCCAACCAATGCAGACCGAAGGTAAAGGTTTTGTCATCTGAAACAACAGATGTATATTTTTGTTTGCTTAATAAGTAAAGTAAGATTTACTGCCCGACAATGGATGGAAGCTAATAAATTTTAATAAAGTTTTCTCTGCCACTAAGTTGAAAGGTTAACTACGTTGAAAACAAAGGCGACACTATCTGTGTGTTGTTATTTTAACTTTTTTTTTTTTTTTTTTTTTTTTCTTTCGCTGTATCTCTCATTGCTTCAATACTATAGATAGGTAGGGTGTCAAGAGAATACAAGTTGTTTATAAAACTATATTATATTGTACATGTGTGCATTTGTGTTTGAATTTATTTTTACAATATATACCAATGAAAGCTGATATGTCAACATTGAAATGCTTTTGTTTTTTTTCTTTTACAGCCTTCGCATTATGTTGAGGTTACCAATCCTAATGATCAAACCGATGCTACTATGACAGATGTTGCCGCCAAAACTGCCCGCATCAAACAACTTGTGGGACAATTGCAAAATAATTTATGCAATGTCTCGGTTATGAGTGATCCCGATTTGGATTCGCTTTCGAATATGGATCCAAATTCATTGGTGGATATAACTGGCAAAGATTTCATGGAACAACTTAAGGATTCAGGCAGGTTAGGGGGAGAGGCCCAGATGTGGTGGTTATATCCCCCTTCTATGACTATAAATGCCTCGCACATCTATGTCTCGTTATTCTTGTGATATTCATTTATTCTTAAGTATTATTTCCTTATAAACACTGCTGTCGAATATATATTATTATCAGATTTTTCACGTCTCTGTTAGAATCTAAAAGTACTTATTTTACCTATCCACTTGTATCTGTCTATCTATTTGTTTTCAACCAACTCGATATTTCGACTTCGCAGTTGACTTGATCGGTATATAGTTCCGTCGGGTTTGGAGAAGTCATTAAGAAAGAAAAGTTCGTCTCCATAGAAGACGCGTAACGTGTTTTTTTGTCCCATATTTTGCTCATGATTCTCTATTTCTATTCAAAACTAAGAAAGACCATTGTAGTCGGGCAAGGTTGACCTTTAGATACCCTACACTATTTTGCCTAATATTCATTTTTCTAATAACACCGAAATCATACGTAATTTTTGTTGTAAATGCACACGTTTCATAAAAGCCCAGAATTGGGTGAGCATCCACGAAACGTCGACTAATAAAGCAGACTTAATTTACTTGTGAAAGATTTTATTATATTTTGTTGTTGTTTTAATCATAAACAGCTACACATTACACTACGTCGACGTAGAAGCGCTCGTTTTTCATGCGAGTCCCTACATTTGCTGGGATCTAAAAATTAGACCTAAACGATACAAATCCCATACGGTGAATTTCTATGCTACATTGCTATTAAAGGTAATTTTCATCGAAAAATATTAAAGATTAAACGTTTTGGCATATAAGGGTTTAGTTTTCAGTTTCAAATTGACTTGAGACAAATAACTTTGCGATTGCGAAGACTGATTACTTCGCATTTTTCATATAGTTCCGCAGGCGAATTATCGATTTGTTGAACAATTTTCACTAATTTCAATCCATCAGCTGATACGGTTCTTTTTGCGCTGTTTACTTTAATTACAAACCGTTGAATAACTTTGTGTTTAACTCTTATAAGCCTGTTGTAAACGAATCGTTCCTTACAAGCACGTAGGAACATGCTGTCGTATCTCAAGGAATATGCCAAGGTGTATTTCTGTGTCGACTTACTACGCAAGCTTGCATGCTTTGCATATTCTCGCAACATGTTTCTATCCAGCGGTGTTTGGCCAAATAGATCTTTTCAGCTACAAATAGAGCAGGGAATTATTATATAAAGTTGTACCACAAACTACCACAGCAGGTACGTAATCAGTATCAGCTTGTATTCAACTGCGAAGTCCAAGTAATACTAATGGCTATTAATCTGTCCATTTTGTACCAGTGTGACATTCAATATACAATAATTTTTCAAAATTTGATGCCGTCTACCAATTTGGCCATTACTTTGAGGGTGATATAATGTCATTAGGACGAGTTTGGAACCAAGCGCTTAGTTAAATTCTCGGAATAGAGAGAATTCACATTGTCTGCCTTGATCGGTTATAATGCAACACGTGAAATGTTGTTTTCCTGCAGCCGTAGGCCACGTATTTCTCGGACTTAATAAGAACAGAAAAGTTCCACGAAAAAACAAGTGTATTTTTTAATTTCAAACCGAAAATGTGGCTACTTATTTCTTCGTCGGGGTCACCAATGTGGTGTCGTTAAGCCGTTGCTTGTCAACTCAAAATTTGTCTTTAATAGAAAACTCGAATTTTTAGTGCACAAATTTATTAATTAATTTCAGGTCTGCCATATTATGCAAGCTTACCAACGGTTTTACATTGTAAATATTTCTTAACAGAGTTACCATCATTGGTAAAACTATTATTAATCGGCACAGGCTCTTATTTAGTTATTAACGTTTATGTAATCGCGAAGACATTGAGTAGTGTTGTAATAGACTGCAATGTCTACTATAGGTGACATCCTTACATGGAAACGGGGTCCGGAAAATAGACCTATGCGGTCCATTTGCATGTCAAATTATTATTATCAGCGAATTTTTATGGAGAAGTATTGAAAAGTAGCCCTGTTTACCACATAAAAGTTCAGCTTCCTTAGGAAAGATTATAGGGCAGCGGGCTCAAAAAGTTTCAAACTTCAGCATCAGTTTACAATGTCGAAGTACTATTATCAAGCAAATTTTGTTGCGATAAGCGACAAATCGCAATATCACTTGTTAAAAAAAGGAGTTATAAGGAGAGTAGTCGGAAAATTGACCCGACCTGAATCGTTTTGAGCAGGTCACGAACAGGGTTTAAGCAGACATCAGACGATCCAACCGGCTTATGGCTAAGATCAGAAAGCAAATCAGGATTTATCAGTATACCCAGAGCTCGCTCTAGATATTGTAAACATCCGCACGAACTGAATAGACCCTGTGCGACAAGTGCTATAGAATATAAGCATAGAAGATGAGTAAAAATGATGGCAGAAGCGTTACCGCTCACGAAAACAATTACACGCACGAATTTTCATTATAAGTAAAGAAATCCTCTTTTCTTAAAGAATCTTTTTTTCTTATGTGTCGAAGGCATGTATTAATGATAACAGTCCCAGTTAGCTCAGAATATATTATATATATCTATGTGGCGGTGTCAGTCAAATATGTTGCATGATTCATTAGTACAATATATATCATAATTATTCATTTCGTTAAAACAATTGAAAAGTTCTTCTTACTATGTTAAAAGTGTTCTTCTAATTTCTTTCTTTCTTTATTTTTGTTTCCCCCAATCGTTCAATACATTTATATGTGTGTGTGTGTATGTGTATATTTTTTACTTTTCCTTTTTAATTTAACAATAATTTTTTCTTTGTGTTGTCTATTATTTTTTGTTATTATTTTTATTTCTTATTAAACGTAGACCATTGTGTGCAAAGCGAAACGCTCAGGACCGAATTAACTTGTTAAAGTTATTAAAAGAAGGTGCGATATTTTGTTCTGAACGTTATCCGGAGGATGCGGAAGCCATTGATATGGAAATACGGCGGCAATTGAATGAGGAAACATATGTTGATAAAGCAAATAATGCAGAGACAACCGAACAAGACCAAAATATAATGCAGTTAGAAGACATCAATGAAACAATGTCAACTACGACAACATCAACAACAATAATGACAAATACGAAACCGCAACAAACTTTGATAACAATTGTGGTAGACGATACAACTGTATCTACGACAACGACGACAACACCAATAGAAACATCAACACCAACAACAACAACAAACAACAACAATAATAGTAACGATGCAGGTAACATTAAAATACACGACATATGACTACCGATTTTTCGTAGCATTACATGAAATTTGGAGAATATATGTAAGGAAAAAGGTTGAAAAGTAAGGGGAAGGATATAGATTTTTTGAGAACCCTGGAATAATAATAATAATGATAAAAAAAAAAAATAAAAAAAACATTTAAAATTGAAACTAAAGAAAAAATTTACATTTTTATTGAAGAAAAATTAAAAACCCCGAGAGAAAGCACATTAATTGAATTTAAAAGCCAAACAAATTTTAAAAAATAAAAACGTAAGCGAAATGAAAAAGTTTCAAGCCTTTGGCGCAAAAACAATGATTTGGCGAATGAATAAAAAAAAAAAATTAGTCTTTTTTCACATTTTGCCAAAAAAGAAAGAAAAATAAAATGCGTACACACAGCCCGACATATAAGCGCGCACTTACACCCATACACACACACACATATATATATATATATATATACACACAAAAATACGAAGAGGCTTAAAGGAAATTTACAAAGAAGCACATCCATTCATACCTACGCTCTATCAAATGTTTTACACTCCTTCACACATAGGCACACATACACACATACCTACTTGTAATAAAGCAACTGAATGGTTAACGTTTAGCTGAGGAATATAATAAATTTGCAGGCATTATACTCGCAATAGTAAATAAAAAATAGAAAAAACAAAAAAAAAAAAATCCCAAACAAAAAAAAAAAACAAGATTTTACACAACTTTACATAAAAATTATTAAAAGAAATAAAATAAAATATAATGATTAAAATCAAAATAAAGAGAAAGATGAAATTCTAAAAAAAAAATAAAAAAAAAAAAAAACTATACGTACTATAGCCTACATCCATGTACTACCTATTATAGTATTGTAACTTTACGAAACATAAATGATCTATATATGAAGAAGGAAGGACGAAACACAAACTTATATACACCCATCCATATACTTATAGATGAAAAACAAAAAAGAAAAAGATATTCAATATGAAACTATTGTAATGCTCCGCATAATGCGCAAGGATCTGTAAACGAGAGTTAACGTTTTCGAAAAATTAAATAATAGTAATGTGAGGAAAAAAAAGTTTAAAAATAATTTAATAAAAAAAATCTATTTAAAAAAGAAAAAAAAAAAAAAACAAAATGGAAAAATGCAAATCAAGTAATTGGTAGAAATAAATAAAAATCAGTGAGACATTGTATTAAATGAAGAAGTGAACGTATAACTAGAAAAAAATATATTCCCTCCGCTCGAAAATATGATTTACATTTCATAAGCAATTTGAAATTGACGAACATATGTTAATTAATTTTTTTCTTTTTTCTTCTTGTTTAGAAATATCGTGATAATCATTTCGCTTAAGTTCGTAATAAATGGTTTTCTCAAAGGTTTTGCTTTCAATAATTCAAACCTTTCCATATTGCGTTTTGTGACATGCAATATTCTTAACTCCTCATAGACATCAAAATATGTCCAATTTCTGAGACGATCGTTCAATCGACAAGTGCAGTTCATTATTAAAACTTTCGCGTAAAAACGCTACGACATTTTCAGAGAGACAGAGGCACTGATAGAACGTGAGGGAGTGGCAGCGAGTGAGAGTTGGTGAGAGAAGGGTAGAAAGATGGTGTGAGTGCAAGGGGGGAAGAAAGAAAGGGAAAGGGGGAGAGACGGAGAGGGATAGGGAAGGAGAGAGATATCGAATTAGAACTTCATTGTTAAATTTGAACTTTGTAATGTTGTAAGCATTGTTCGATTTAGAGAGAGAAAGATAGATAGGGAAAGGCGGCATTCATTCAATGTGATCAAATAAGACTTATATATTTTTTTGTTTCTAGTTCCCACACAATCTCAAAATTTCTGGACAATAAATGATGATTGCAAGGCATATTTTTATTTAGAATATGCCAATGTGGTGACAGTCACGAGCCCATGTTCTTGAAAATGATGTCTAATTGATTGTTTTCGATTTTTATCCACCGATATTTTCAACAGTACTTATAAAGTGAAGTCTAAACGCAAACTTTTCAAAATTTTTCTCCTATGAGGCGCATTTTTTTTGTCTTTTGATAATTTTTTTGATAATTTTAAAAATATTTACAATTTAATTTATTTGCACGCTTTTAGATAAATTCAATCTTTCATATTACTGAAGCAATATGTAACTATTTTAAAAGTGTAAATATTATGTAGTTAGATAAAGAAATCGATATGTAAACGGTATTTTCGGATGAGGGAAACCTAAACTGATCTAATCTAACGATAAATGTATGGTAATAAAGAATAGAGAAACCGTGAAAAAAAGTCAAACACTCTCTAAGGCTTTGAGATTAATAGAAAACAGTAAAATGAATAATAAATGCATTCCGGAAAGTATAATCTGTAAAGCACATGTGTGAAAAATCTTAAGTCCTTCGCCATAAAAGAAATCTAAAAAAATTTTCAAAAGAAAAATACCTACAATAGAGTTTACAGAGTCGATTGTTAAAATTGGAAATCAAGAAGACTTCTTGAGATAATCTGACCTGATCTTCCCGTTGCTGCTGCGGCCTATATTTGAAACGATCTACTAGATGGAAAATCGTTTTGATTCATCTTCCTTTCATATAAATTTTACATTTATTTCAATCAAGTTTGACAAATAGAGCAAGTCGAATTGGAATAGCTAAGTAAATTCAAAATTTCAGGCTTGGCTATTAATGTATACAAGTGTTCTTGGACCTTAAAATGAACGAGAATATATAAGTTTATATCTTAACTCACTTTTCTTTCACATTCAAGAAGGTTTTTGTTATGTGCGTAATTTTTACATAATATTGATATTTGTCAAGATCTAGGAAAACTTGTTAATTATATTCTACACTACTTGTGGTACCGACGTACACAACACGTAGAAGGGCTTAAGATATGCCCACCTTTTATTATACCAATCGATTCAGAATCATAATTTGAATTTATCTAAGTCTGTCTGTCCGTCTGACGTCTGTCAATGTAAATTTTTGAAATATTTTGATGAAATCTGATATAGTGACTTGTTTTGATCCAAAAACGAATGCTATTGAAAATGATTCGGATCAGCCCACTTGTTCGGTCACTCCTCTTATAGCGTCCTGAAAAATCGTTACAAGGAAAACAATTGTAATTTTGAACATTTCTCGGCAAAAGTAGCTAAGTAGCAGTATTTCGGGATTCTAAATTGGTATAAAAACTTTACACGGGCTAGGGCAATTTTTGAACCCCCTCACGTACAACGAAAACTGAAGTTCGTATGACAAAAAGATATAATTTTTCAAAATTATATTATAACAGTAATTTAATATAAAGTAATGAATTGTAATAAATTTGGACCATCTCGGCCTATTTTTTAGATCTTACACTAATAAAGAAAAGTCTAAGTGGTGATGAAATTTGACCCATGATAGTAATTTCATACAAAACTAAGAATTGTGTTAGACATATGTAGTGTAGGGTATTTAAAGGTCGGCCTTGCCCGATTACAATGCTCTTACTTAACATTTAGTGCGACTATTTTCAATTCTCAATTGCCTTACTTCTTAAGATTCAATTCTCAGAATTAATAATAATTTCGGTTAATACAAAAACTAGAAAATTAATCGTAATCTAGTATATTCAATAAAGTAACGCAACAATAAAAAAAAAATTAGTAAATAACGCGATTTCATGACAATCTCCGGCATTTTTTGTCTCACATTCCGCTTACTTGATAAATATATTACAACTGCGAATAGAAGCAATAGTTGAGATAGAGTGATTTTTTGTTCCGATATTTTGAAACGACGAATTTATGTAGAAATTTGATGCATATCGTGCTAAATGAAAAGCTTGTGAACCGGGATATCAAAGTGAAAGCTCAATTTTCGATTCAATTCCATCTTTCATTCGTATAGATTTCTTTATTGTTTATCCCCGTGTGTTTGGGATCTAAAGTCATCGTTTGCAGACTCAATTAAGTGCAAGTAAAATCTGATCATTTGGAATAATTTTGTTGCAACACTCAAGAATTCGTACAAGCAGTACGCACTTAACGATGCACGGAGTGTGTATTTGAAAACGGCTTAGTTTTTATTTGTTGAATTTGATTGAAATAATTGTTGTATGTTGATAGATAAAAAATTGCGTAAAATTGAAAATAACACGTTTTATAGCGAGGCTCTCTACTTCTCTTTAACCGAAAGCCAATTAAAATACTTCTACACATATAAAGCTGTAGCGTTGACAATCTACTTACTTGAGTTAAGATTGTGTTGTATAAACAAATATAACTTACGAAGTATCAGATGCACTAAACGTCGCGACCATGTTTTCAATTGCAGACACACTTTTTGATCATTAAAGTAAATCTTCTCTCATGCAAGTGATCCAAAAAAAAAAATTGTATTCATTTTTAGCCTTTGTAAGGAAATCATTTATATTGCCATGTAAATCGATGTGTAAAACCACTTGTAAACGAAGTGTATTGTGAAGTGAATTGCGATTCGAAGTATCTCTGTAATATAGAGATGAAATTTTAAATCGTTTTTGTATCGTTTTCAAAGTGCAATTCTAAAAGGACAAGTCCTAAAACCAATTACGACCGAAACGTGCTAATTATATTTATCTAGTGCGTACTGATTCACACACAAGTAAATGTATGTATGTATATTTATAAATTAACCATATACTATTCCTCTATTTTCTTGAAATAATAACAAAATTGTATAATTATAACAATATTACTATATACTTACAATAAATTATTATTTAAAGTATACAACCATCATTACATGTTAAATGATATTCAATTAGATTGATCGTGATGCAGGTGAAATCAATTGTTGTTTGGTTCCCCTTGGTTTATAGAACTTTCAATCTATTGTCCATTTGATAATCAAAGTCAAACCTATAGGCAGTGTATAGAGAGTTATCACATCTTGTCAAGTGGGCATCTCGAAAATAAGGGTCCGCTCGAAGCATATAAGTTTTGTCAATGCTTCTTTCAACTCACAAGACCCTTTTTACAAATTTTTCCTTTGAATTCACAGTTAAACTCTCTAATGATTCTTGACCTTCAGAAGGATGCTGGTTAGCTTTAGCCGCAAATATGGCGGATGCTTAGCTTTTCCCCAGAGCGATGTTTGCCGCCGATTGATTACTTTTCTTTATCTTTTCTAACCCTCAT